GGCACATTCTTGCGCGCCCGCCGCTCCTCCGAATAATACTAGGAAAAAGCAGGGGGGAAAGCGCGGTGCCGGGGTGGGGGAGGGCCAGGCCGGGGGCACTGGGACGGGGCCCGGCGCCGCACAAAGGCCCCCTTGTTGCTCCCGACATTCCTGCGACAGGGGCGCAGGGACTGTTTACACCCAAAGTCCCCTTCCACTCGGCTTGCTGCCTGATTGACCAGAGGAGAGGAGAGGGGACCCGGCCAGGGTGGCACCGGCACCGCGCACCCCTCCCCACGGCATCCCTCCGGCCCTGGTGAGGGTGTGGAGGACCGGGTGGTGATGCCAGGCAAGGGACTGTCCTGTGTCCCCTCGCGCCCACGGCGGTGGCATAGCTGAGCTGCAGGTACGCGGCCCCCGGGTTCTCCTGGGAGTGGGTTTGACCTTGCACCGCTGCCGGCATCCCCAGCTCTCCCTGTCGGGATAGCCCGCTGCCGGATGGGAATATCCCTGGGCAGCCAGAGGGCTTTGCATCACCGGTCTTCGCATCGCCGGTCTTTGCATCGCCAGGCTTTGCACCGCGGGGCTTGGCCTCTCCATGGAGCTGTGGAAGGTTTTGGTGGAGTGCAATTTTGGGGGAAAAAGAGAGCATAGTTGTTCATTGAAGGCTGAGAGGAAGCGCGTTTCCCGGGGAGGAGGAGGTCATCGCTGCAGTGGGAAGTGGCTCACGCGCCCCGGCAGTGCCGCAGCCCGCACAGCTTTCCCCTGCGGGCAAGGGATGGAGCGGCAAAAACCTTCCCTGGGTTTGGCAGATGCCAGCCATGGGCAAAAGCCAGGAAATTCAACCTTTAGTCCGTGCGTAAATTGTGTTATGGAACAAACGCTTTTCCCAATCCAGGTCAGCAGCGATATTGCTGTTAACCAGAAACATCCTGGCACCTCTTCCCTGGGTCGTTGTCTCCAGGTACTTTCTGGGACTAAACCTCTGTTTGTTATCTTTGCCTGTTTTTTTGTTGTGTGGGTTTTTTTTGTGGTTTTTTTTTTTTTTTTTTCCCCTAAAGTAACTCTCCCACGGAGGATTGTATTGGCATTTGGCGAGATCCGTACGGACAATTATGTAATGGGAAATGTTGCCCTATCGGACCGTGGCAGCGAAGCTGGCAGCGGCGCCGGCGAGGGCAAGAGCACGCAGCGGCTTTATGCAATAGAGAGAAGGGGCAGCGCGTTGGGGCTGGTGGGCTGTACGTGTGCCCGCCGGCCGGGGAGCGGGGCAGCGAGCCGGGGACGAAGGGGCCGTGCCGCCGCAGTGGTCCTTGCCGGGAGCTCGCCCAGCCGGTGCCACACCTGGGCCTTGACAAACACAGGACTCTTCGCAGCGTGCACTGCTGTGATCTTACCGCGCACCCCCATGCCAGAAGGTGCCCTTGATGGCGAGGCGGTGAAAATGGTCCCGCTTTGCTTGTTGTTTTTCACCCCCCCGCACCCCCCTCCTTTCTTTCCAAACAAACACATAGCTGCAAACAGGCAACTTCTGTTTTCAAGAGGAGACGTGTAACCTTTCAAAACCTCAACTTCTCCCCAAACCGTGCGTGTCGTCACTTGTGCAACCTTCTGTTCAGCGGGAGTGTGAATGCAGCCCTCTGGGGACGTGCTAGCGAGAGGGGGCTGACTTGAATTTTTCCTCTTTGCCTTCCAAACTCTCCTTCTGCCCATGCTGAGGGTGCCTTTCTGGAGCAGCCTAACCCTTCAGCACCCTGCCCGCACATACAGGTTTGGGTGCTGGGGTCCATGCGTTCTGAGCAGGGGCGGGATGTTGGTGGCAGCGCAGGTGTCCCACGGACCTCACTGGGCATCGCGTGCCTACGGAAGACTATATGCACTTTTTCCCAGGCTGGCTCCTCTCCCCCGTCTCCCTTGGGCATCACAACCTTGCTTGCCTGCACCGGCATCGCTCCTACGGCTGCAGGCACCCAACACACCTGCCCTGCCTTTAACGGGAGGGCCCAATCCAGCGTGCTCGTTGGCCACAAGTGCTTATAAGGAGAAGATGAAACTCCAAACAGTGCTCCTTTTGCTGAGCCTTTACCAAGAGGGAACCGTCCTTCTCACCTTCCTGTAGGGCTGGCTAAAGGTGGCACCTGAAATTTTTACGGAGGAGAAGAAAAAGGAGGGTGGTGGTGCAGGGCGGGGGAGGGGATGAACGTGGCAAACAGACTCCTGAAAAATGTGCATGTTGCAAAGTGACTCCCGAAGGCGGGCTGCATGGAATGAGTCAGCTGCCCCATCACCCTGCGCCCCGACGCCACGCTTGCTCTCGCGACCTCCGAGTGCGACGGCGATGCACTGGCGTGGAGCAGAGGGCTCCGCTGCAACGGGGGCAGGGCTGATTCTACCAGAGAGCGGCTGCCGTGCTGCCAGGGGCTTCGCTATTGCAGAGCCCGCGGCGAGGTACAGTCACCGGGCTTTGTGTGCCTGCCTTGCACACGCCGGGCTGCATCGGGCACGCGGGGCTGTGTTGAATGTGCAGCACTGCGTTGCACGCATGGGGCTGCATTCCCATGCGGGGCTGCATTGCACGTGCATGTTTGCATTGCTGCTTTTCACACGTGGGGTGGCATTGCGTGCACAGAAAGCTCCTGCGCTTTGCGTTTTGGCTCATTGTGGGGGGGAACCCAGATGGGATAACCCCCTCAGGAATTTGGTTGGCACCTTGCAAGCCGGTGCCCTTAAATCTTAACCGAGGCCAAATACTTGAGAGCTCGCTTCATCTGCAGCCCGTGGAGGGATCGCAGGTTGTGCGTGGGGCCAACATGGCCTATTTTGTGCATTCCCACAGGCCAGCTGGGAGCGTGGCACGGTGAACAGCGTTAGGCATCCTCCTCCCTCTCCATTTTTCCCATCCTCAAATTCTCCTGGCCGGGACAGGACACCTGCAAACATCCTGTTTGCAAGCCCCGCTGGTGCTGGCCTCTGCTCCCCACCCTCGGAGCACCTTGCACTGGGAAGAGATGCTCATGGCAGTGTGCAGAGGCCCCGCCACAAACCCCACAACGGCCCAAGCACATAACACGAAAGCATGGAGAAAATCCTTTCATTTTGGGACAGTTTATGTTTTGGAAGTTGCATTTCCCAAGCAAATGTTTTTTCGCATCAGAAATTCAATTTTGCCCATCTCTTTTATTACAAGAAAGGGAGGAAAACCAGTAAAACTCATGTAAGCTTTTCCTGTGGACCGCTTTGGCAGTCATTAAGCGGTGACATGAAATGCACTCGGTTCTTGCTGCACCGGACACGGGCTTTTGCATCCTTCTGCAGGCAGAAGCGGGAGAGGAATCCTTATTAAAAGATTAAGTTTAATAGCTATTCTTGGCGGGTGCAGGAGCCTTGTATTCTTTCTGCAGCTGTCTCAGAGCTGTCCCATCTGGTAAAATTTAGCCTCCTTGGTTCGCTTTACCTGCCTGAGTGTCGACCCGACGGAGGGAGGTTGGCAACCGCAATGCCGTGCTGCTTCTTTCTCATAAAACCCGCTTGCCAGGATCAACATCGGAGATGGTCGCAGTAATCGGCGCAGCACTGGCGGCCAGGCTGGGCTGGAGCTTCCTTGCTTTAGCGGCGCCCAAAAAGGCCGCCCGTGCCGGAGATATAGGAGGGGAATAAATCACTGCCATATAAAGCGCCTCTAATTAGCGCTGCGTGTGCACAGGGAGCCCTGTTGGCATCAACAGCGTTTGTCTGGGAAAGCCTTAATGTGAAACTCGGCTGGTTTGCGGGCACGTGTCGGCTGGTTTGGGAGAAGCATTGCTATTTTTGAAATGCGTGGGACCCACCGGTCTCCAGTGGCTGGTGGAGGGGATGCCTGCAAGGGGATGTGTGCCGTGGAGCGGGGAAGAGGGTCCGGTCCACATTGGTGGTTAACGCCAGGGTTTCTGCCCTTGCAGGTAGACCGGTGGGACGAAATAACCGGCGGATCAACCGGGGGATCGTGGAGGAGTGCTGCTTTCGGAGCTGCGACCTGGCTCTGCTGGAAACCTACTGCGCCAAGTCTGTCAAGTCTGAGCGCGACCTCTCTGCCACCTCCCTGGCGGGCCTGCCAGCACTCAGCAAGGTAGGGGGGCTGCGCCGGGATGGCGGCTCTTCTCTGAAATAAACGGCAAGGGAAAAGGTGGGAAGGCATGGGTGGGGGAGGACAAACCCCAGCAGCAAGTTTTGCTGCTTCTGCAGAGCCTTCGAGAGATGGCCACCGTTGGCGACTCATGCCAAACACCCTGCAGAAAGTCAGCTTTTAACAAGGTGGGGGATCAGAGGTGGGCTGGATCACATAATCATCGAAGGGTTTGGGTTGGAAGGAACCTCTAAAGGTCATCTAGTCCAACCCCCTACAACGAGCAGGGACATCTTCAACTAGATCAGGTTGCTCAGAGCCCCCGTCCAACCTCATGTTGACTGTTTCCAGGGATGGGGCAGTGTTTCCATGGGATGGATGGAGCTCAAAGAGGGGAACCCCGGAGCGGAGGGCGGGCAGGCTTGTGGTGAGGCTGACGTTGTTACCCCGTCCCCTTGCAGGAGAGCTTCCAGAAGCCCTCGCACGCCAAGTACTCCAAATATGATGTGTGGCAGAAGAAGAGCTCCCAGCGGCTGCAGCGGGAGGTGCCCGGCATCCTGCGGGCTCGTCGGTACCGGTGGCAGGCGGAGGGGCTGCAAGCGGCCGAGGAAGCCAAGGCG